CACCCCTTTCCATGCTCCTGTCTAGTATCTCTTCTCTATCTTGATTTTCTTTTAAACTCACAAATTGTTTTGGGTCACTGAAAAAGTCATGATGCATTTTTGCATAGGAAAATACATCATGACTTTTCCAAGGACCCAATATACTACTGTTGCTTTGACAGACTCAAATGTTAATCATTCTCCTTGTGCTCTGCCTGTTCTTGCATATTGGACTCGCCCGCCCTCTGGGATTTGATCCTTCCCTTCTCTCTCTCATTTTCCTGGCTGAGTTCACCTCGTATTACTCCAGCCACTCAAGCCACTGTGGCCAATGGCCTCCCCTCTCGCCTGATGTATTTTTCTTCAGCATGTTTACCACTTATATATACTGTAAAACTTACATTTTCATTTTTTTTTATTATTGTCTATCTCCTTCTGTTGGAAAATAAGCTCCAAGAAGGCAGGAATTTTTCCCTGTTTTATTCTCTGTGCTCCAAATAAAATTGTTTTATCAATTAACTAATAAATGAAAAATTTATTAACCAAAATTCAACAGTCCATTGATAAAATCTCTTAAACAACTATTAGGTTGGTGCAAAAGTAATTACAATTGTGCATTGTTGAAATTTGCCATTTGATATTGGATACATTCTTAAGAATGTGATATGTTATATATCATGTTAATGCACATTTCTTGCTTTATGTTATTTTCCTAATGACTTACTACTTGCTATTTATTTTATCTGTATTTTAGACTATAGAAATTGTGTTACACAAAAATCACAATCAAGTGATTTTTTTCACTCAATTTCAAAATAGGTCGTAAATCACCGGAGACAATTCACAACATCAACAGCACATTTGGCCCAGAAACTCTAACGAATGTACATTGCAGTGGTGGTTCGAGAAGTTTCACAGACGAGAGCCTTGCAGATGAGGAGCACAGTGGCAGCCATAGGAAGTTGCAATGACCAATTTAGAGCGATCATCTTAGCTGATCCTCTTCCAACTACATGAGAAGTTGCCAAAGAACTCAGTGTTAACCATTCTGTGGTCATTTGGCATTTAAAGCAAATTGGAAAGGTAAAAGAGCTCAGTAAGTGGGTGTCTCATGAGGTGACCAAAAATTTTTAAAAAGTCAGTTTTTGATGTGTCATCTTCTCTTATTCTATGCAACAACAACAAACTCTCTCTCAATCAGAATGTGACAGGTGATGAAAAGTGGATTTTATTTGACAACCAGCTCAGTGGTTGGACCGAGAAGAAGCTCCAAAGCACTTTCCAAAGCCAAACTTGCACCAGAAAAAGGGTGTCGTGCTGTCTGGTGGGATCTGATCAATACAGCTTTCTGAATCCCAGTGAAACCATTACATCTGACAAGTACGCTCAGCAAATAGATGCGCTGCACCAAAAGTCACAACACCTACAGCTAGCACCTACAGCTAGCATTAGTCAGCAGAAGGGGCCTGATTCTGCAAAGCAATGCCAATCGCACATCACACAACCAACACTCCCAAAGTTGAATAACTTAGGCTATGAAGTTTTGCCTTATTTCCCATATTCACTTGACCTTTCTTTTAGCATCTTGACAAGTTTTTCTGTTTGTTTGTTTTGAGAGGTTTTTGCTATAGGGCGTGTGTGCTCATCAGACAGACAGAGACAGACAGAGAGACAGAAAGCGAGAAATCACCCCCCAGGGGGGATGGCCACGCCACAATCCCTTCTTTTCCATTATCCTCTCGGGATCTTGGGCACACACGCACATGCGCCTGGCGTGAGTTTAAGCCACTAGGTCCGGGACTCGAACCGCAGTCAACTATGTGGGAGTCCAGTGACATAGCCATTACACTAACTGCTGGTCCCAGCATCTTGACAAGTTTTTACAGAGAAAACACTTGTATAACCAGCAGGATGCAGAAGATGCTTTCCAAAGAGTTTGTGGAATTCCAAAGCACAGACGTCCATGCTACAGGAATAAACAAACTTATTTCTCATTGTCAAAAATGTGTTGATTGTAATGGCTCCTATTTTGATTGATAAAGATGTGTTCGAGCCTAGTTATAGTAATTTAAAATTCATGGTTCACAATCTCAATTGCTTTTGCACCAACCTAATAAGAAGGGAGGGTAACCTCCTTAAACTGACAAAGAAGTGAGAGAAGACTGGAGGAGAAAGGGTGTTCGCTAAACCGTATTTAAAAGTGTGTCAAAAAAGCACCAGCAAACGTTCTTATGGTAAAACATTAAAAGCACTCCCTTTGTTATCAAGAACAAAACATTCTACTTATTATCACCAATTCAAATCAACATTATATTGAAGGACAAAGTACAATGAAGAACAAAACTGAAGAAGGAAGGAAAAAAACTAGCTAGCCATCATAATGTAATTCAGGAACACTATAATAAAATCCCCTCTACCAAAAATAAACAGAAAAACCCACAATCTATATAGACAAACTTAATAAAATGTTTAAGAATTTAATAGGTTTCCAGGTAGAAGATGTAGAAAAGGTTACCACATTTTTTAATTTTGCCATAGGGCACATGCGATTGCCAGAGAGACAAAGAAAGATGGTGAGAGGGAGAGTGAGAAATCACCACCCACGGAAAGTGACCAGCCCCAAATCCTTGCTTCTCCATTCTCACACACACACACACACACACACACACACACACACACCCACACCGGGTCTGGGACTTGAACTACAGTGGACCATGTAGGACTCTAGCACTTACCCACTATGCCACCTGCTGGCCCCATACAGCATTTTTATGTTCCAGCAAAGAATATACAGAAAAATGAAACTGAAAAAATTAATAATTAATCATTTACAATAACAAGATGACATAATTGTCTTTGGCATACAAATCCTGGATCCATGTAGAATTTATTTTGGTGATGTATGGTGAGGTAAGGGGTCAATGAACTTACTTGCATATGGGTAATGATAATGTCCCCTACCATCAATTAATCTTCAGTATCAACTCAGTTGTATATCAAGTTTTCCTATAAAATGGAGTGATTTGGGGCTCTTGATTCTGACAATCGAACCATATAAAACTTCCAAACTATCAGAACCAGTCAAGTACTGGCAATTTCTTATGGTTCAACTAAATATTATATTAGTGCATTTATTTATTGTACTACAATCTTGCAGAGAAATTACAATCTTAATACAGCATCATAGTTTTCGTTTATTTTGAGGAAGTATTACAGCCTGCTTCTTTGCCCAGAGTAGTATACTGGCTATTCTTGGACCTTTTATACCATTAGAATGTTTCGTAAAAAAAAAAATAATAATAATAATCAGGTGGTATAGTGGCTAAGGCACTGGAATCCCACCTGGCTAACCACTGTTGAAGTCCTGGACCAGGTGCCTGTGTGTGTGTGTGGGTGTGTGTGTATGTGTGTGTGTGTGTGTATGTGTGTGTGTGCTCAAAATCCCAGGAGGAAAATGGAGAGGGAATTGCAATGTGGCCATCCCCCAGGGTTATGATTTCTCACTTTCCCTTTTACTGTCTCTCTCTCTCTCTTTCCAGCAAGCACATACGTCCTATGGTAAAAACCTAAACAAACAAACAAACAAACAAAAAATCATTTGGCTATTTTTAATTGAGACTGCACTGCCTTCATGGTATGAGAATAAAAGTTGAAACAATTTTTTGGATACATTTCTAGTTAGTGCTGAATGAATGGGATTGAACTATGTAAATTATTTTGTGTTTTTGTTTTGTTTTGTTTTGAGAGGTTTGCCTCAGGGCCCTTGCACTTGCCAGAAAGAGATAAGACAGAGACAATGAGAGGGAAGGGTGAGAAATCACCCTCCAGGGGGTATGGCCACACCACAATCCCTTCTCCATTCTCCTCCTGGGATCTTGGGCATGTGCACACACATGTGCCCGGTGTGAGTTTCAAGCCACTGGGTCCAGGGCTCAAATCATGGTCGATCATGTGGCAGTCTAGAAACGTAACCTCTATGCCATCTGTTGGCCCCTTATTTATTTATTTATTTATTTATGGAGAGGTATTTGCTATTAGGGCATGTGTGCTCAACAGAAAGACAGAGAGAGACAGAAAGCAAGTAATCATCCCCCGGGGGAATGGTCACACTACAATCCCTTCTCCTCTCAGGATCTTGGGCATGCACGCACACATGCCCGGCATGAGTTTAAGCAGCTGGGTCTGGGACTCGAACTGTGGTTGACTATGTGGGAGTCCAGTGACAACCATTATGCCATAAGTTGGTCCCCTTTTTACTTCTGAGAGAGAGAAATTTTTGCTGTAAGCCATGTGCGCTCACCAGAAGGACACAAAGAGAAGAGAGACAGAAAGTAAGAAATCATCCCCCAGAGGGGATGGCCATGCCACAATCCCTTCTCCTCCATTTTCCTCTTGGGATTTTGGGTACACACACACACATTCACCCAGGGTGAGTTTCAAGTTGGTGGGTCCAGGACTCAAACAGTGGTTGACTATGTGAGAGTCCAGCAATGTAACCATTACGCCATCTGCTGGTTCCTTATTTTGCATTTTTTAACATAAATATGCAGGAGAAACCATGGACTTTGCACTGTGATATTTATGTCCTGTGAAGGTAAAGATGAGGAATGATTTTCTTCCATGATATTGCTTTCTTAATGTTTCAGTGGAGCATCTACAGACAAGAGAGTAGTGATAGTGGGGAAGGGGCTTTAGGGAGTAGAAGCAGGGGATGGACAGAGAGGAGAGACCAGGGTGTGTAGTCCATTTCCAATAGAGTGATGTCTCACTTATGTCGGTGGAGAACGGCATTGAAGGCAAGTCCATCTGTCCAGCTGGTGGTGAAGTTGAGGACATTGACTTGGCTGTACGGCCTGGTGGTCTGGCGTACCCAGCTCAGAAGGATCTTCTCACTGTTTGTCTGCTGCAGGTCTGACATGATATCCTTCATGACATCTTTTACCTACGTAAGAAAAAACATGCCTACCTATAAATTATTTCAGTTACTTGAATCAATTCCTTTAAAAAGAAATATTACACTAATTAACTATTATGGATCAGGTAATTGGCATTCATTTTATTTCAAATTTTTCTATTCAACAGTAGAAAAATAAATTTTAACAGTGATTATTTTGGGGGTAGTAGGATTTAGAGGTTTTATCTCACTTTTTTACATTACTGTTATTTTCTGTATCTTCAACAAGATTTGTACTACATTTGGTTACAATGAACATAACTTCACCATCATAAGAAAAACCATATTTTAATACTGTACATTTCCAAAGACCATTTCAGAAAATCTAATTTTTATTTCCTACAAAAGTGAAGAAGAAAGGAAAAACTTTTCACTGACTACAAAATCTAGAAAAAAAGAAGTACCCTTTCTGATGGCCGTAACAATTATACTCTAGAACTAACATTTTATATTCGTATTTTAAAGTAGTATGTATGTTAATAAAAAGGGCTCAGAGAATGATGTGAACATATTAAAAGAACACAGGAGCCAACTTAAGGGACTAACACTAACAATGGCCAAACCTAGGACAACTTAAGCATCAAATGAATAATAATGTAAAAGATTGTAAACCAATGTAAAAATCCATGTCTACACTAGCATATGAATGAACGAATAGACAGACAGATAAACATAGGTAGATAGATAGGGAGACAAAGATAATGGCAATAAAGAGACAAGAAACGGATCTTCTTTACAAGTAAAAAGCCAACTAAAAAAATGTAGAAGGAATGAGAGAATTAGAAACTCACTATTTGTCAAGTATCCTAATGACTGACCTTGGTAAAAATAATGGATACGAGTTAGATAATAACTGAATATTTTATACAATCTCAATGTATATACCCACAGGATATTTATTAATAATAAAAAGTAGCAACTGTACTATGGAGAAACTGATAAATACACCTTCACCAAAAAAAGTAACACTGCCAAGATAGAGCCAATGGGTAGTGCTGCTCTTGACAGGTGCCCTGAGAAGGACTCAGTGTCACTTTTGTAGCATCCCTGAGAAAAAATGAACCTGAATCAGATCCTGAGGAAACATGAGCCAAGTCCACACAGAGGGACATTCTATTAAAGAAAAAACTGGCTAGAGATGGCCTAATGGTTACATCACTGGACTCTCACATAGTCAACCATGGTTCAAGTTCCAGACCTGACAGCTTAAAACTCACACCAGGTTCATGTGCGTGCGTGCCCAAGATCCCAAAAAGAGAATGGAGGAGAAGGGATTGTGGTGTGGCCATCCTCCGCCCCCACCTTGGGAGTGGTTTTGGGCTTTCTGTCTGTCTCTCTCTGTCTCTCCAGTGAATGCACATGCCCTATAGCAAAAATATCTCAAAAATTTAAAAACAAAATGGCCAGTATTCTTCAAAAACATCAATATCATGAAATATAAAGACTCAGAAACTGCTACAGATTAAAGAAGTCTAAATATACATGACAAAAGAATGTAATGCATAAGTTTACATTTTCTTTGCTATAAAAAATACTATTGGAGTAACAAATTTTCAAAAGATCTATAGATTATATGATTGTTTTATTTCAATGCTATTTCCTTCATTATAATTATACATTATTCTTTTATATGTAATTATATTATCAAATCATTAATATTAGCATAAATATTAATGTCAAACATGTTACTATATTAATACTATATTGTGCTTATGTAAGATAATTCCTTGTTTTTAGGAGAATGCCATGTTTCTAGAAAATACAATGAAGTCTTTAGGTAGAAAGAGAGAACGCAAAAGAAACATAGACAATTATTAACATTTGGGGTCTAAATGAAGGTATTCAGGATTTATTGCAACTATTTTTTTCACTTTTTTAAAAGTCTGAAATTATTATTTCAAAAGTATGAAAATATTATTATTATTATTATTTTTTAGAGAGGTTTTTGCTATAGGGCGCATGCACTTGCCAGAAAGAAAGAGAGACAGAAAGCAAGAAATCACCCCCCCAGGGGGGATGGCCACGCCACAATCCCTTCTCTTCCATTCTCTTCTCGGGATTTTGGGCACGCACGCACACACACTCGGCATGAGTTTAAGCCACTGGGTCCAGGACTAGATCCGCAGACGACTATATGGGAGTCCAGCAACATAGCAATTACACTAACTGCTGGTCCCTGAAGATACTATTTTTAAAATTTATTATATGCAAAGTAGATACTTTCTTCCAATGCCAGGAAAATAAGGCAGTTTATCAGCTTCTTTTATTCCAAACTGTTATGAGTTGAATTGTGTTTCCCCCAAATTCATATGCTGAAGTCCCAACCATCAGTACTTCAGAACAAGGCCTTATATAGAAATAGAGGCATTGCAGAGGTAGCTTGTTAAGATAGGCACATACAGGAGTGAGGTGAATCTTAATCCAGTATGACTGGGTTACTAATAAGGGAAATTTGCAAACAGATGCCCCCTCAGGGAGGATGTCACATGAAAACTAGAGTTACACTGCCCCAGGATAGGAAAACCCGTAGACTACAGACAAACCCCGAAAAGCTAGGAGACAGGGAAGAACCGATTCTCCCTCAAAGCTTTCAGAAGGCATCAATCCTGCTGACATCTTAATCTTGGACTTCCAGCCTCCAGAACTGTGAAACAATAAATTGCTGTGGCTTAAGCCAAGCAGTTTGTGGCAGTTTGTTATGGCAGCCCTAGAAAATGAACACACAAACGATGCATTTTCAATGTTTATTAAAAAGTGATTGGAAATTTCCCTACCTGCCAGTGCAAAATGATGCTCCAAAGTAATCCCAGAGTCAGTTTGTGATTTCCATCTACGATGTCAGTGCCTCCTATATTCACTAATTCCACCTAGTACAATGGAAAAATAACTTTTAAGACAACTTCAGAGAAGCTTCCAAGTTTTGATTTTAGCACATTTGGATAATAATATAGGTGAAGGATAAGAGAAATTTGATTTTAGAGAATCTGGTAAACCCAAACTCAAAAATGTATTATTTACACAATAGATCAATAAAGCCGTCTGAAAAGTACATGACTGCTGGTTTTCGTCACTCATAGAAAAGGTCCAGTACTTCTCATAAGAAAAGTGTTTCATGCCAGTGGCTGGGTGCACAATAAATAAAAGTGAGAATAGCCCAGAACCCACAAATTCATGTTACGAGCTTACATTGTTCTGATGTAAAACCTGCAGCACTCTGTTGACATTGTTTAAGGCGTGCACCCTTGTGGAACCACGTTCCTTTGGCTGGAAAATAAAATACACAAGCAAATGAGACCGACTGTACCCTCTACACACCTGACCGACCACCCTGGCATCAAGGACACAGAGACATACACGAAATAGCAGATCCCAGTCAGTTTTGGCTGACATCTTCCCAGGCCAGCATGTTGGAGGCTGGGGTTTACGGCATACACTCCCCAACTAACAACATCTTCAGACACTGGTTCCCTAACCTGTCTGCACACTGGAATCTCCTGGAACTTCAAAACCAATGCCTATGTCCCAGCTGTCCTACCACACCCTCGAAGATTGTGACTGACAGGATCTAGGGTATGATCTGGTTTGGGAAATTTTAGAAGAGTGTCCTTGATTCCAATGCCCAGGCAAGTTTGGGCTAAGAACAACACTTTCTTTGATCCAAATTGGTCTGGATGCAGAACGATTTAGCAGCTGTGTCTCTTTTATACTGCACAGACGTGAACAGAGCAGGAGGGATGTGGAGGTGCCATCCCAGATTCTGGGTGCCGAGTCAAGAGCCCACTGGACCGGGGAGATTTGCCAGCTGGGGAAAGGAAACTTGGGCAGCTGCTTTCTATCTCACTAGCCAGGGACTCTCTCCCCCTTTTTGGACACACATTTGTCAATGGACACTGCATTTGTGAGATAGAGGTGGATTTGTTTAGCATAGGTGTCCACTGTGTCATGATCAAACCAGGGTAATCAGCATTAACATCATCTCCAACACTTGTTATTACTTTGTACCGGGAATAGTCAAAATCCTCTTTTGGCTATGTGGGTATCCAGCTAATCTGAAGAATATACTAAGTTACTATCAGATGTTACCCTACTGTGCTATACAAGGCTAGAACTTATTCCTCCTGCATAACTACTCTGTTTCTCCCCTTGTCCCACCCTTCCTAGTCTATCCTTCCTATTGTCCAATAATTATTATTCTACTTTTAAATTTTGTTTAAATATTTATTTATTTTTAATTTTATTTACTAGCATTACTCTTCAATTTTGACCAGAGGGAGACAGAAAGAAAGGGAGAGTGAGAAAGCAAGCTGCTAAGTTGAGGACTTGAACCACGGTCAGCCATGGGAGTCCAGTGTTCTCAAGCACTATGCCACTTGCTGGCCCCTCCACTCTTCAGTTCTCTGAGGTCATCTTTGTTCCTTTCCACATGTGAGGGTGAGCCATATGGAATTTTTCTTTCTGTGTCAAGCTTAGTTCAGTTCACACCATGTCCTTCAGGCTTGTCTACAAGGTCTCAAATGACAGAATTTCATTCTTTTTAATGGCTACATACTAATCAGGGAATCTTATCTGAGAGAGGGATCAGCCTCCCAATAGGAGAGGACAAAGGAGAGCATATCCCCCCTACGCTTAGGCAGAAAAAGAACATATATTCGAGAGCGCACCTCTCTAAGCTGTTAGAGCAATTCTACCTCTAGTGTTAATGTCTGCACTTCTTCATTGAAAGTTTTTTCCACGTGAGTGTGGACCACCTTACACATGAAGTAACAGGGCTGGATAATACTAAGATCCTGAACAAAATTAGACGCCATTGTTCTTAACAACTATTTTTTTTTAATATTTGTTTTTAAATATATTTGTCTCTATGCTCTCTGCTACTCAAAAAATTACACCCTCTTTGCGAATCCATCCTTTTCTGTAATTCTCTGTCTGGAGTGACTCAATACAACCAATTTTATCTCTGGTGAACATAGAGCCCTCGGGCCAATAGGCAGTGTGGTGGTTAGGGTGCTGGATAAACACATAGCCAATGTAGTTCATGTCCCAGACCTGGCAACTTGCTCTCTCACTTTCCTTCTCTTTCTCTGTCTCTCTGATGAGCACACACGCCCTACAGCAAATTTTAAAATAATAAAAATAGAAAAAATTGAATAAATTATTTTTAAAAAGAAAGCGAGCCCATAAGAAAGCCTACACATTGCTCTATCAAAGCATTAGTTAAAACATTTTTTTAAATGTCCCTGTTTCAGTCCTTATGTTCTAAATACCCATAGTGAGTTTTCAAGGATCAGTAATGACTAGAGACAGTTCCTTGGCCTCATTCTCAAACATGACATCTCTCACCAGTGATGTTCCTGTGAGGCCTTCTAGAAGATCCAATAACTTCCTTCCATCTTTGAGGTCTGTGAACATATCATTGATGGGTGGTTTCCCACTCTGTAACACAAAACATAAAGAATGGGTTACTACAGCAGCAGTAATTCTGTATGTCCCTGTAAATCAATGAGAGATTTCATTTTTGCCAATTAAAAAATTTCCGATGGGCCAGCTCCATGGCCTGGTGATTAATGCAGCCAGATCCCACATGGCTGACCATGCAGTTTGAGTCCCAGACCTGGCAGCTTGAGAAACACATCTGGCACCTGTACTGCATGCCTAAAATCCCAAAGGAAAGGAAAGATGAAAGAGAAGAGATTGCAACATGATCATTCCCCATGGGAGGTGATTTCTCCTCTCCCTCTCTCTCCTTCTCTCTGTCTCGCTGAGACGAGGCCTCTAGTAAGAAAAAAAAAGAAAATCTGTATGGTCTGCAGACTACCCAAGTTTGCCTTGTATAGAAAGAACAAGTACAAATACAGAAAATTTCCAGCCCATAATGCACATTTGATGTGACAGCTATACATAGCATCATTTCTTAGAAATGGATAAAATAAAGCTGTGATTAACATTAATCTGCCCTAAGTACAGTATACATTCCTAAGAACAGAATGATAAAGAGATGCATTAAAAACATAAATGAGTATAAGATACCTGAGTGCAAAGGTGAACTGAGCCAGTATGGTATTTTGACTAGTACAGCTTCTATTACAGAATTCCTATCTCTTGTCCCTGATGGATAAATAGCATCAACTCAAACTGATGTTATTAGATACTTTAGTGTCTCATGCCAGAAATACCTCACTCCATTCACTCTAAGTTTGGAAATCCTTGCCTGGGTTGTCAAGGCCATTACTGCACAGAAAATCAGGATGCCTCATTTTTAAACCCAATTTGATGATTAACTCCCTGGCTAACCTCGTTCTAAACTAAAGTACTATAAAGTTATATAGAAATTTTCTAAAAAGTATAAAGCACTATGCAATAAATGTTGTATTATTATCTTGTATCAAATTATTCCCTTCTAATATGAAATGTCCATAGAAATTAAGAGTCCTGGTTTCTAACAGTAGTAAAGATAATTTATAACCAATAATTATTTCATTTTACTCATTTTCCACTTTAAAAAAACTTATACTGCTATGGTTTATGTCCCCCCAAAAGTCATGTGTTGAGATTTGGTCATGAAGGTACTAAAAGTAAACATAATACCTTCAAGGTGTTGAATGGTTGGGCCTTGGGGAGTTATTAAAGTGATTAGGGTGGAGGCCTAATTGAGGTGGGCTTATAAAGAGACGTAAGGGGCCAGCAGATGGCATAGAGGTTAAGGTACTAGATTCTCACTTGGCCAACCACAATTTGAGTCCCAGACCCAGTGAACTGAAAATCACGCCAAGTGGGCATGTGTGCATGCATGCCTAAAATCCCAGGAGGAGAATGGAGGAGAAGGGATTTAGGCATGACCACCCCCTCAGGAGGTGATTTCTCACTTTTTCTCTGAATGTCTCTCTGTGTCTCTTTATGGGGAGCACACACATATTATGGGGGGTAGGGGCATGGACTTAAAGAAAAAAGAAAAAACTAAGATGGCAGACGTTTGACAAACGGTTGATGTTAACAAGCATAATGTTAATGCTTTCTACTGGCATTAAAATGCCATTAAATTTCAACACTATCTGAAAGGACTGATGAAATAAGACAATAAAGACTTCTTCATCCCAAGCAGGAAGCTAATGGTAGACTCTGACATGAGGAAATGTATGTATTAATTAATAGAGAACAATCCGTAAGTCTAAAATTTACTAATACAATACCCTGGGACATATCCCATTCAAAACCAATTGTTATTAACATGAAAGCAGTCACAGATAATACATAAATGATCCCATTGGAATGATGATATTTCAATGAAACATTGCCTATGGATGCTAATGTTCAAACTTCACATCATTTCCATGTCACAAAATATTATTTCCCTCTAATTATTTGTAACCACCTTAAAAATGTAAAAACTATTCTTAGCTCATGGGCCATACAAAAACAGGCAGTAGAAAACTGAAATGAGGGTGGCCTGGTAGCCTTGTGGTTCAGGGAGCTGGAATATGGCCAAATACAGTTCAAATCCCAGCTCCAGAAATAAGAAACACTATGAGCACGTATGCATGCACACCCCAAAATCTGTAGGATAGAGAAATGGAGAAGAAGGGATTGCAGCATCACCATGCCCTGTTGGGGGTGGGGTGGATGCTTTCTCATTCTCTCTTTTTTTCTCTGTCTGTTCCTGGTAAGTGCAGGAAAATAATTTTTAAAAAAGAAAAGAAAAAAAAAAACCAGAAACACGAAATATTCTTAGATATAACAATAGGAAGCACTTATTATGAATCAGAAATTTTCTAAGAGATTTACAGAGATTTTGATGCATTATTTACATGTATTATTTATTTCTTTGTGGTAGCATTTTAAGGTAAATGCCACCATCATCCCATTTTACAGGCGAGGAAACTGAGACACAGAGGTGACATATCTAGTGAGAGGCAGATCCAGGATCTGATGCTACAAAATCCATTTCCAAATCCATGTTCTCAACATCTCTGCTAAATGTCACTAAAATGAGAAGGACACACAACTGTAACACACAGGAAAGCATATTCTAGGGGAAGGGAGAATATATTTAACATTGCTTGATGAGAGCACATTTAAATACATTGAAGACTGAAGTCTATTTTTTTCTAGCACATCACTTTAAAGCATGTCTGGTGCTTTGGTATCACAGCCTCTAAACATGGGATCCACCCTCAGAAGCAATTTGGAAATGTCAGAAGTCATCTCTGACTAAAAACAAAAACAGATCCAATCTGACAGTTAACCTCTTATTTAGACCTTTAAATCTTTGCAAAGACTTATTTGCAGAGACTTCTCCGATAGAGAGAATACAGTTTAATAATCCCATTGGACAAATATTTGGTGAATACCTCCTTTGTGCCTGGCCCTGCAAAAAATGCCAAGTTCAGGTCACCCTCCCTATTCATAAGAGAGGGTTTCCACAGTTTTCCAATAAACACAATGAACAATCTTGAACTTGGAGGGCAAATAAGCCTTGGGTCACATTTCACTTTAAAAATACATAAAAGGCAACATGATACGAGTCCAGATGAGAGATGCTTCCGTCCTGATGTGATCGGCTTTGGCTGTCCCCAACTCCCATCCCCTTTCTCCCATTACTTCTTTGACTACTAATAAGAGTTCTAACCCCACCATTTTGAGAAAAGGAGCCAACACAAACCCTTTCAACTGGAACACTCCCACTGCTGATTTAAAGGGTCAGAGCACAGAAGCAAACTGTCGTCACAATGCATGAGGGAGGAGCTGGGGGTCTGTTGGAGAGAAGGGGTACACCTGCATGTGTGACAGTAGAGTGAAGCAAACATGATGGGCTCTCGTAATACCTGGAGAGTCAGCTGGCTTGAAAGGCTGAAGTTGGAGTGAGTGTTCTGATCCAGCTTCAGGTGGCCATGTGGGAATTCAGACTCACTGCTGAAAGAACTTTAGGGATTTTTTTGTTTTCTTTGTTTGTTTCCAAAAACTAGATATCTGAATTTATATGCATAATCTCCTGACACTAGTATTTCCTAAAACATTGTGCAAGACAAGTGACTCTTTTCTATAGACATAGTAGGTCACAGGGTGACTGATTAGCAATCTCTGCAGAGAGCGTATTTCACACATAGGAGAAATACAGGCTTAGTCAACAGGGAGTCCCTTGAGGAATTGGTAAATTTTGATAAGGCCTCACACATACATACACACACACACACACACACAGAGAGAGAGAGAGAGAGAGAGAGAGAGAGACTAACGAATATGACTAACTGCAAAATCCTTCTTTTTTTTAAGTTTTTTTTTTTTTCTATAGGGCATGTGCACTCGCCAGAGACAGACAGAGAGAGAGAAATCACTCTCTCCGCACCCCCCAGGGGGATGGCCACACTGCAATCCCTTCTCCTCCATTCTCTTCTTAGGATTTGGGGCATGCATGCACAGGTGTCCAGCATGCTTTTTAAGCCGCCAGGTCCGGGACTCAAACCACACAGCCATGGGAGAACCAGTACCCTAATCTCCCAGGTGCTGGCCCAATCCTACCTTTTTAAAGTTTAGTTATTTCCTTCTATGTACAAGAGAGGGAGAGAGGAACAACACCCCAAACAGGGTCTTGACACCAACATCCACCCTAGCCTTTAGCCAGTCCTGAATCATGAGCAAAAATATGTCTGCTATATGCACAGTCTCTGGATATGAACCAGCAACCCTCCCATGTGGGGCTACCTGGCAGAGTGCTATGGTGCATTTTACCATGGCACAATCATCTGGCTCAAGCAAAATCCTACCTTCTAGAATAGCAGAATCATATTATTTGCTCGTATCAAAAACAAAGGTGTCAGTCCTTATTCTTACCCTTTCTCTCACTCCCCATCTCTAACTCATCCACAACCCCTGTCCTCTTATCTCCAAAATCACATTCCAAGTGTGACCACTTCTCACCATCACATGCCCAACTCTAGCCCTAGCTCAAGCCCAAACCCCTATGATGTCTTGCCTGAATGCCAGCACCAACCATACTGATTCCTTTGCTCAAAATTTCAAGAGGAGAATTTAGCAGAAATTACTGTGGTGTGACCATCCCCCTTAGGGAATGCTTTCTCACTTTCCTTCTCTCTCTCCCCCCAGCAAGCACACACATCCTGTAACATATACATTTTTTAAAGTAAAATTTGGGAAATAGAGCTTGAATTCTTAGAAGAGTGAAATAATTATTTGTACCAATAATAAACAAGGCAGAAGTAGAATTGGGATTTGCATTTTCCATTCAGAAGACTAGCCAGAGTCTACTCTGTCTACTGTGCTAGACTGAAAAGCTAAGGCTGGCAAAGTTCTTGATGTCAAGGCACTCAAAATCCTAATAGATGTAAATGAAAACCTCACTACCCAAAATGGTGAGCACAGTAAGGGGAACTTAGGAAACTGCTTGGTCCTGCCAAAACTGTACAAAGTAACAGGGACTA